TAGAAGCCTCCACCTCCCCCCCTTGCAGCTGGGACAACTCCTCCTTCAGAGGAGCATAGGGAGAGGGCCTGGTGGGCCCATTGGCTCCCCACACATCATCCTCGTAGTCATAGTGGGGTGAGTGCGGGTCCTGGGATTCCTCTCCCTCACTATTCCCGAACCTGCTTCTCTTGCCCTGAAAGGCAGCCACAATGCCCCTCGACACCCCCAGCTCTGCCTGCAGCTCCTGGATCTTGGCATGGCACACCTTGTGATCAGGGCCAGAGCCCCGGTCCCGCTGGACGTCCTGCAGGACCGCCCGCACCGCACTCTGTGCATCGTGGGTCTCCCCGATCCATTTGCCAACCTCCTTCTCCAGCTCCTCTGTTTTCTTCTTCTCATAGCCCAGCTTGCTCTCCAGCCGGCTGATCTCCACCGCGCTCCGCAGAGAATCCCCGCACAAACCCTGCACCTCTGCCTGCAGGTTGTCCACCTGTGTTTTGAGCTCTGCCTTAGTCTGCTCTAATTTCTGCACGTTCTCAAGAGCCTCTTTCAGCAACCTCGACAACTCCCTGCCCACCATCAACAAACCCTGCAAAGCCGCTCGCTTCTTGCACTTATTTGTAGGTTTGGGCTTTTTGGTCTCCTCTGCCCAGCTCTCCCATTGCTGGCACAGCTGCTGGTACGCCTCTGGGCCCTGGAAGGACCCCGGAGACCAAATTGGAGGGAGACATTTCTGGAGCACAAACTGCTCCAGCTTCCAGTTACTAACGATATCGCTCATCATAGTGAAGGGAACGAGATCTGAGACGGTTCCGTCTCAGGGCAAAGCTACGGTCCACCACCAACACCACCAACCCACCCGCAGAGGAAGGCTGCAGCCCCACAACCCACCCTTCCGAAAAGCCTCCCGGGGAGGACAGAGAAGCCGGTAGCAAGGGAAGGAGAAGGTGGGAACGGGCGAGCAGCCGCCGGGACCCGCTGGCTCCCGGGGAAGGGACGGGGAAGGGATGGGGGAACGGGGAAAGAGAAGCAGAGATGTAGTAGGACCCCGATAATAAGATCTCACCAATCCTTCGCTGGATGTCGTGGCAGTCCCAGAGTCCTGAAGACGGTCGCTGCAGAGCTCCGGCGAGTCTGGCACCTTTCAGGAGAAGGTGGTCGTGAGTGCTCACGGCAGCAGCTTTTATAGCCATGGCAGGTCGTTGTTTGGAGATGATAAGGCCTGTGCTTACATTTTGTTGATTTTTGCTTCTGCAGGTGGCGCATCCCTCCCTTGATGTTCCCAAGGACACCTCCCTTGCCTTTTCTTATCCTCTTCGTCACTGATTAGGGAGTCTGAATTCTCATGGGAACGGCCGCTCTCCCCTTATCTGTTTTGAGGGACCCAAATTAGTCACCACTTGCTTGTTCTAACCTCTGCTTGCAGCAAGTGCCCTGAAGAGGGAGAGCTGGAGCCTGCCCTCTCAGCATCCATCTTCCCAATGTCCCACAGTGGACTTGCTGCATACCCCATAAGAACCTGGCTTTTGAGGGGACATCACACGTGGGGTTCACACCTGACACCTGTAACACATGCTGTGCCTCCAAACTCCCCCTCCAAGCACAAACTGCTTGCTGGAGGGAGATGAGATGACAGGAAAATTCACGCAGCTCATTTAGATCCATTTTGACTTCTGGGCTTCAAAAGCAATATTTTTCCATGCCACAAGCCAGCCTGCCACATGCTGATGTATCCCTTGGGGGTCGCCCACAATGTGTCAGGAACCTCCACTGAGATATTGCATCAGCTAAAGTACAGCTGTAAATCTGCACCTGCAAATGCAGAGAGACCCCCCTCCACAACCTTGCCTTACAAACCACATCTTAGCTCAGAGCAGTGTAGAGAAGAAAACTTGACCCAGTTATTTTTTTTTTCTGCCTTTACACTAAGAAAAATGTAGTAGTTATCTCACTCGGTGAAAACGCCATCATTTTCACTGCTGCTTTTCCCCCTAATGAAATACTCCAGGTGCTACATCCTTCCCTGGAATAAAATCAGTTTTAAAAACTTTTAAAAGCAACAAATTATTCACTGGTGGCTGTCTGAGTCCCGGGGAGTTTCCATTCAGCAGCCTGTTACCCCCAAAGGCCCTTATTTTCAGGTACTGCAGTACCTGGATCAAGCTGGAGGCTGAGCAGCCTTCCTTGATCCCAAAAGTTAGTTCCTCTAGCCCTAAAAGCAGAGAGGGAATGGTTTTTTCTTTATTTTTATGGCAACTGTTTCTCCAGCCTGGTATTTACAGCCTAGCTGCAATTACCTCTGCTGCAATACAGGAGTTTAGCAGAGAAGAAACCCCAGCCAGGTCCTGCTTTTTGTCTGTAGACCCTTTCCTTTTACCTCAATGCTTTGATCCTACCTTCCCTAAAGCAAACACTTTGCTGTAAGAAACTCATCTTAGGGAGAAAGGAAAGAGTCAAAAAAGTAACAAAGCTGGGAAAAGCACTGGAAATTAGTGTCAATGTGGTGAGGCGTGCAGGATGGAGGCTGAGAAAAGAAGGGCTGTTCCCCTAGGATGGACAAGGAGGAGACCCACAGGGCAAGCACTGAAATGAGGCAGGTAGTTGGCTAAGCTGGGGACTGGGGTGATTGTCTTTCATTTCACAAAAAGAATTAATTCCCCCCAGAAATTGTGCAGCCAAATAACTCAAATACACCAAAAGGCATCAATTCCCCCCCTCTTGGCCTAGCCGTGAGGCAAACACTCGTGACGATGAGCTGTTGTTCCCCAGCAAGGCCACCAGCAAATCTTGCTGGTGTTAACAGATCGGTTCAACTCACACCCTTTTTTCCTCCCCTGTTCTCTTCCCAGGCCGGCAGCCCCAAACAACGTGGGGTTGTTATAAACAGCAGCTGCTCTCCTGCACGTTCCCACACCGCTCTTGCTTTTGTTGGCGATAGGCTGCCAGACAAACGCATCCCACCTCCAGAATGTTCTCTTGTAGGAGCAACACCAAGTCCTGAGAACAGCCTGGCTGACAGTAAACAGCTCAACTGGGTATAAACAGCAGATTAAAACAAAAAAAAATAAAAATTAAGCCCTCCAAAAAAAAAAAAATAAAAATTTAGCCCTTTTCCAGCACATACATTATGCTTTTACATTGCAAATACTCCTTTTTTCTTTCCATAGGAGATATCCTATTCCTAAAAGTGCTGCAGGGAAACATTTCTAAAGCTGCTCTAGTGACATGAGGAATCCTTCCAAGCCAAAATACCTGCTTAGACAACCCAGTGTCACCAGCCTGGCAGCAGCATTTGATGCCTAGTGTAAAATGCCCCATGTCCAAGGTTGTAAAGGTGACAAAAGCTACCTCTAGAAGCACTTTGGTCCAGGCCAGGAGGGCAGAAAGTGACAGCAGCAGTGAGAAAAGGGGGACACAGCCATTGCAGCAACCAGGAACATCAGGCTCTGTTCAATGACACGGATAAAAGGAAAATTTGCTTTCAGTGTCATTTCTCATATTAAGCAACTTCCTCCCTCTCAAAAAAAAGTGCCTGGATCCAATTCTGGGGAGGTCCCAGTTTGGGAGTGAGAGCAATGGCAAGCAGGAGGTCAGGAGGGGAGAAGCAAGGGTTGCTGCACCCCGTGCTGGAGGCTCAGCTCTGAAACCATGCTCTTAAAAGCACTGAAATGCATTTGAAAGCACTGAAATGACTTTCTCCTGACAGGGAAGAGTTAAGGAGCGATTCAGCCCACCCTAAATTTTAGCAGCCAAACCCTTTGTAGCAAGGCTTTTGGTGGTTTGCAAGCCCGCTTCAAGCAGGAAATTATTTTAAACAAGGAGGGGGGTTGTTACAGCAGCATGGAAAAATGTGGTGCAAAATGAACCAAAAAATTGCACTGCATGAGAAACAAAGCCTTTTTTTTCCTATTTGTCCACCAACTCACACCCCAGGGGGATTTCTCTGTGCCTCTGTGTGTGACCCTTCCAGGAAAATCCCCCCTCACCAGAGAGCCAGCCCTGGGAAGATGCTGAGGCTTTGCAAGGATGAGGAGGATCTGCACAAGTAGGGCATAATAGAAAATCAAACCCTGCTTGGCAGAGAAGAGGGCAGGGAACACATAAAATTAATAATCTTTTTTTGTCCCAAACATGGAAATACAGAAGGCTGCTGAAAGCAGTTCAGCCCCATAATTTCACATCATGCATTTCACTCTCCAAATCCTAAACCCCAAGTGCTTCAAATCTCTTCCCTCCAAAGCCATTTCAAAGCCACTCTGATATTTTATTTGTCTTTTAAATATTTTTGCATATGAGCCACACAGTATCATAGCTACCAAAGCAGTGAGGTGCAGAGCCCCAGAAGAATCTCCTTATTCTTGCGGTTTTTCAGCCACTAAATTTGTTTGAGGTTTTTTGCTTTGGCTTCAAAGTTTTCTGTGAATCCTCACACCTCTGCTCTATTGCAAGCTAATCTGGCATTCAGCATCTTCCAGGCCTGGAGAAAAATACCTTCCACTAAAGGTTCTCCTGACGAAAACAACCCCACAGGTCAGATTGCACCTTCTCCTTATTTTGAATGCATTTTGATCTCAACAGAGGAAAAACCAGCCAAAAGTTATCCTTATCCTGCTTTTATTTTCAGTGCCAAGCTCCTACATTCGTCATTTTTTAACTGCACGGAGCTAAATTAAAAGAAGAAGGAAAAGCTAGGTGATGAAACATGAAGCAATCATCATTAAAAATCAATGAGTTTTCAGGTTTTTTTCTTCCAAAAGGGGATTTCGGGGGCTCCCGTGCAGAGCTGGAGAAGTGCTGCCACCCTGACGCACACCTGGTTTGAAGGCTTGGTGCAGAAGAAGCTGCTGGGCTGAGGCTCCGGGAGCTGCTGCAGCAGATGCTCTGTGGCAGGTGTCAGTGGGACGTCTGTGCCGAGTTGGGGAAGAACCTCCTGAGGTGAAGCCAGCCCTGCCACCGAGAGGTGACCGTGCGTGGAAAGGGAGCTGGCACAAAACCCCTCCATCATCAGCTCTAACGCCATGCTCCGGCCATGGCTTCATCTCTGCGTCTGCCTCCAGGTCCTAGGTAAGAGGAACACGTCTCTTAAGGGTTGAGGGCACCTAAAATCATGCTGGAGCCTCTCCTTCACCCTGCTCCAGCATGTGGGATGCGTTGCACAGTGCTTGGATGACAGAAGTTTAAAAATACAGGCATAGTATAGATCTGCAGGGTATTATTGCCTATCACAGCATGGTCTTGGGCAATGCCATTAACGACAGGCTTCAGCTTTCCTTCAGCCCTGAAGTGATCAGAGAGTTGGATTGGAAAATCATTTTAGGTCCCTTCCAACTGAAATGTTCTATTCTATTCTATTCTATGCTATTCTATTCTATTCTATTCTATTCTATTCTATTCTATTTACAGTCCAATACATGATGGTATAGACACTGCAGAGTTTGTTTTTCGTGCACCCTTGTAGTGCAGACAGACTACGGGAAGGTGCTGATGGAGAAGTTAAAGTAGCACCCATCTCTGCTGCCTGTGTAATGCAAAGATGATAAACATCCCCTCAAATTTTCTTCTAAATCTATCCAAGAACTGAACGTCTCCCGAGGGGCCACAGCTGGAATTGGTGTGCTGTTATAAACCCACGCTGCCCTCTGCATATTGCAAACAGGTTGCAAGAGGTCTGGACTGAATATATACAGTGGATATCATGGCAAAGTAGCAGGATTATGCTTTACAGGACAAATTGTGCCATCAGTTCTTAGGTGGAAAGTGTTAAGAGCTTGAAACACACGTTAAATGTGTGTATTAGGGTGGCAGCTCAAATTGATCCCCTGAGACATTGCCCAGCTGGAGGCTGTCGGGGCTGCAGGGGGCTTTGCTCTCAGCTGTGGTGGTCATCCAGCCACGACTTAACAAACAGCAAACAGCCCGAGGCACTTTATCAATGTCTTTACACAGGTAATAATGTGCTATAGATCCACCTCTACGCAGTGGGGTCTCTGCTGAGAAAATCCCCATAAATCAGAATTTGTCCTGCACATGCAAAAGGAAAAGGGATTGGTTTTGAGCTGCTTCAGGCTGGTCTGGGCAAGCACGTGGAAACAAATCCACCACACCCCGATTCCCTGCAGTCCCCTGTGAGAGTATACACTGGGAAAGGGAACTGGGAGATCTGGGGCAATGAAGGTGCAGCAGAGGATGAGCTTTTCTGCTCTGGCTCCATCCCAGCTCACCCCACTGGAGCCTGACCCCTGGCTCAGAGCTGAGCCAAACCTTTTCCAGGATCCTTTCTCCTCCCTTCTGATTTCTCTAATCTCCCCAACAGCTTGAGCGAAAGGTTTTCATGGGGTTTTTTTCCCAGGCCCAGCAGAGCCACATCTCAGGGCAGCCAAGGAGACCCTGAAATCACTATGCCCCATGGCCACACAAATTTCAACCCCTAAAAAGCCACAAAGTTTGGGCAGGTTGCATGTCAAAACCTGGAAATTACATGTTTTGACAATAAGGAGACCTTTATATTGCTTCAGTACCAGAGAATGTGGTGAAGTGCTGAGGCTGCCGTGCAACGCCTGGATTTCAGCATTGCCATATCAGGGCTGAAGCCCACTGGGGTCATCATGTGGGGATGGAGGAAGTCGCTGGCCCTGTGTCAGCCACCAGAGCCTTTTCCTCTGCCTGTCCCCACTGGGAACATGGGGGACATCAGAGACAGGGGCCACAGGGGTACCTTCAGGTGCTCTTGTGATCATGCAAATCCATTCCTGCACCACTGGGTTTGGAGAACTGCACAAGGCTGTTCGCAGCAACTACCATAAGAAGCTTTGGAATTCTGAAGGAATAAGAACTTTCCTTTATTTTTTTCCCTTTCCTTTTTTTAAAGTGGAAAAAGCCAGAGTGTGTTTTGTTCAGCTTTTTGCACAGTTTTAAAACGTGCCTGGGAAAGAGACAGGGGAAGCGGGAGAATCCTTATCTTCAGGAGACTGTTTTTCGCTCGGTCTCGGAGTGTCTGTACTTTGTCTGCTTGCTGAACAGACAGGGTCACAAGTCACCTGTTGTCCTTTTCACAAGGACACCTCCTCTCTCACACAGACACCGCTCACGTCTGCGCGGCCCAAACGCGGCTCAGATAATTTCCACAAGAGCCCAAACACCAGCGACGTGATGCAAAACCAAAGCTTTGAACTCCACCGCTACCTTCTCATCCCCCAGGTCTTGAAATTCACGTGAAAATAATGTCATATGAAAGCTAATATCAAAGTGACTAATTTTGAGGTATTTTCCATGGTTTTTGCTCTTTCTCTGCAACTCAGATGAAGCTTTTTGGTGTTGCATCTGTTAGAACAGAAATCTAGCAAAAAAGTTAAAAGGCTCAAAAAAAATCTGTTGAAAGAGAGGTGAAGCTTCTCCAAAAATGAGAGAGAAAAGGAAGACAGGAGAGGGCTGTCCACAGAGGCAGGTGGGGATGCCCTTTCCTCCACAGACAGCCCCAAAAACCCCTCTGCCCCCCCCCCTGCCACTGAGCCTCCTCTTTAGATGAGTGTTCACAGAGCAAACTCTACCTATATAACTGGGCTTGACCCAAAAACAGCTGGGCAACCCAAAAAGGCCTCTGAGGGAATATGGGAGCATCCTGATAAAGCTGCTCCTGTTTCTAGCTCGTGTGACCCCCTGATCCGTGACAACTTGTTCTTATTAAGCCAATAAAGAAAATCTGTACTTAGCATGGAAGACAAAAGTATGAAAACAGTAACGATGTATTCCTGTCTTCTTTTTCTTAGGTTTCTGTACAAATCTCCATTTATCCCACGCTCCAGAGCGTATCTCAGCCCAGCCTAACAACAAAACAGAAATCCTCTGTAAGCTGAAGAAGGAGCATGCCGGGGTGTACTGGTACCGCTGGAGCCAGGAGAAGCAAAGTTTTGAGTTTTTGGTATTTTCCAACCCGTTAGGCAAAGCCACGTATGGCACAAACATCAGCCAGGCCAAGTTCAGTGTCCATGGGGCGAGTTCCCATGCGTCCTACAGCCTGCACATCAGGGACCTCCAGGCCTCAGACAATGGCATCTATTACTGCTCTGTCTCCCAGTCCTCCCAGTTCCTGCTGGGCAGTGGGACGTGGCTCAGTGTGGGTAAGCAACAGCCCTGCTGCTCCGAAATGTGCCACTGACAGGTTGTGATGAGGTCCCGGGGTAAGGGGCAATATGTGTTGGTAGACCCTTTCCAATTTTGAGATGCAAGGCTGGGGCTCTGGGGAGTTTCTGAAGAGACCTGTGAGACTGGATAAGGCAGCAAATACAGAAAATAGCAGCTAAGTTTTAAGATGGCTGCATGGGATAGTCTGCCACCAGAAGTTTCTCTGTGAATGCCTTGAGCACTGGGTTGCTCCTAGTGTTGTAGGATTTGCATGGGAAAATCCCTAGCTCCTGATATTGCCATGCCCTGTGCTTTTCTCATCTCCTGTGGTACTGCACAGAGAGGCTGGATGTGTGCCCTGCTCAGCTCCCGGGTCCTTCCATGCCCTGGTTTTTCTTTACCCTTCCTCCAAGTGACAAGAGAAGGATGAAGGCCAGAGGGCATCACCCCTCACATCTCTGGGGTGGGTCTGACTGCAGGTTTCAAGCCTGTCCTTCACATAAAGGACTGAAATGGGATTTCTTCCTCAAAGCTCAGAACCCAGCCTCACTGGGGAGCTCCAAGCAGAAATCAGAGCTATCTGCAGATGACACTGGGGGAATGTTTCACAGACCCTGGGTCATACAGCAGCTCTTTTCAGACCATTTTTCCCCTTGACCACAGAGCAGGAGGTAATGTAGAAAAACTAATGTGTTTGAAGTCAGATTCACCCCTTTCTTTGCAGGCTTTTAGGGAGCCAAGTAACTTATTTAACCAAGATGCAGCTGTGGCTGCTGACTAAAGCAGGCCCAGTGTCCCACCCTCTCGGGGTTTTTTTTTTTTGCAGATATGCCCTGCACCTTCAGCAGCCTGATAAATCTTGT